TCCCATTATGTCTTATAATTTCTTCCAATTTAAGACTGTATCAAACCAATTTCCATAACAGATAACTCTGTGTTTACACAAAAGCTGAACAATGATGTACAGGTAGTTATTTAATTTCTCACAGTTAGTGATGATTGGTTTTACCATTCCACGAACCAATGGTCGTGTCAACTGATGCTCCGGTGATCACTTCTGGCTGATATTACAGAGCTGAATCAAGCGACTCATAAGAAAAAATCAAGTTTTACAGCTGTTGAGAACAATTTTTATCGGCAAAATACTGATTTACTGGATTGTATGACACTAGTGTGAAACTGTGTGGATTAGTGTGGGACTTGTGTTGATGTGCCGATATCGCTACATATTGGTACTTTCTGGTGGTTCAATATTACATATTGGTACTTTCTGGTGGTCCATCACTACATATTGGTGCTTTCTGGTGGTCCATCACTACATATTGGTACTTTCTGGTGGTCCATCACTACATATTGGTACTTTCTGGTGGTCCATCACTACATATGGTACTTTCTGGTGGTCCATCACTACATATTGGTACTTTCTGGTGGTTCATGACTACATATTGGTACTTTCTGGTGGTCCATCAGTACATATTGGTACTTTCTGGTGGTCCATCACTACATATTGGTACTTTCTGGTGGTCCATCACTACATATTGGTACTTTCTGGTGGTCCATCACTACATATTGGTGCTTTCTGGTGGTCCATCACTACATATTGGTACTTTCTGGTGGTCCATCACTACATATTGGTACTTTCTGGTGGTCCAACACTACATATTGGTACTTTCTGGTGGTTCATCACTACATATTGGTACTTTCTGGTGGTCCATCACTACAAATTGGTACTTTCTGGTGGTCCATCACTACATATTGGTACTTTCTGGAGGTCCAACACTACATATTGGTACTTTCTGGTGGTCCATCACTACATATTGGTACTTTCTGGTGGTCCATCACTACATATTGGTACTTTCTGGAGGTCCAACACTACATATTGGTACTTTCTGGTGGTCCATCACTACATATTGGTACTTTCTGGTGGTCCATCACTACATATTGGTACTTTCTGGTGGTCCAACACCTGTTGGACAGGTGTCTAGACAACACCTGGTCATGTCCGCCAGATATTCTCATTCCTTAAGACTAATGAATGAAATATCTCAGAGTTTTATCTTAAACATTTTTTTAAAATACAAAAAAAAATAAATCACCATTCCAATTAATGATATCAAAGATGTAAACAAAACAGAACTTGATTTACACAATTTGAAAAATCAAGGAACATTTGAGTCATCTGTGTAAAAGAAAATTGTATAAATTACCCTCTAGAAACGTCAGTCACTGACGTGAATGACTGGATTATTATCCCCTTGGCTCTATCCTACCGTTTATCCTGTCCTATCCCAAGTCCTTATCCTCAAATTCCTTTTAAGTGATATAGAGTTGCCATGGCTTAGTGATTTCTCCTGATATTTTCCTTATCTTGTAGTGTATATTAAGGATTCAGTGATAGAATGGTCTTCGGATTTCAAGTTATATGATATATTTAGACAAGTTTAATATACAAATCCACAAGGGCCGTGACGAGGATTCGAACCTGCGTCCAGGAGCATCCCAGACATCTGCCTTAATCGACTGAGCTACGACAGGGTTAAAAGAGTTGAAACCGAAGTTCTAGTGAACTTAGCACGTAATTTTTAGCACGTTATGGCGCTAGTGTACAAAATCTGAGTGTGTATATGTGAATACTGCACATATTCATCTGTACATATATATATATATATATATATATGCGAACAAGCCTGAATGGTCCCCAGGACTATATGCGACTATATTCTGGGTTGTGAGTTTTCATTCATATATATATATATATATATATATATATATAATATATATATATATATATATATATATATATATATATATATATAGATATATATATATATATAGATATATATATATATATATATATATATATATATATATATATATATATATGTATATATATATATATATATATATATATATATATGGTGAAATACGTGTGAAAAACCTTTAGTTTGGAAACGCGTGTATGCACACACACACAAAAAAATTGTTAGTAAATAGTTGATTGACAGTTGAGAGGCGGGACCAAAGAGCCAAAGCTCAACCCCCGCAAGCACAAATAGGGTGAGTATATCCTCACACAAAAGAGGCTGGTACATAAGCTGGAGAGACATGCAGGTGTAGCTGGTAAGGTGCTCCAGTGGATAAGGGAGAATCTAAGCAATAGGAAGCAGAGAGTTACGGTGAGGGGGTGAGACCTCAGAATGGTGTGAAGTCACCAGTGGAGTCCCACAGGGCTCTGTACTCAGTCCTATCCTGTTTCTGATATACGTAAATGATCTCCCAGAGGGTATAGACTCATTCCTCTCAGTGTTTGCTGAGAGAGAATGTCTGTGTAAACTTGGTCAGAGGCTAAGGGCTGGCATCACCCAAATTTGTAAGGTGAATGGTGTGGGGTATGGGACAGACACAGGCTGGGCAGGGTAGGTTTAAGTTAAATTATATTAGAAATCTAAGAAATTATTGACATTTCCCTCCATCTGATTCTCATGGATTCAGTTCCAGTAAAGTGTGAAATATTGGTTGAGAGGCCCTAAGACTTTTTCGTAATCTATAAAAATAATTTCCTTAAAACCCATACAGAAGTTTTTGCTCCATAATATTATAATTTATATTTTATGAAAAGGGAGAAGGGTAAAGGGTGGGGCAAGGGGAAGGGGGGGCGGAGGAAGGGGAAGACTTGGGGAGGGGGGGGGGGGAAGACTCCCGGGCACTGCCGGGTATCTCTCCTAGTAATATATACATGGAAGATACTGGAGGGCCAGGTCCCAAATGTGCACAGTAGAATAACACTATACTGGAGCGAGGAGTAGAGGTGCCATAGGTACTGTGTCTATGGCACTGGCACTCCCCACAGTACCAGTGAGGAGTAGAGGTGCCATAGGTACTGTGCCTATGGCACTGGTACTCCTCACAGTGCCAGTGAGGAGTAGAGGTGCCATAGGTACTGTGCCTATGGCACTGGCACTCCTCACAGTGCCAGTGAGGAGTAGAGGTGCCATAGGCACTGTGCCTATGGCACTGGCACTCCCCACAGTACCAGTGAGGAGTAGAGGTGCCATGGGTACTGTGCCTATGGCACTGGCACTCCTCACAGCACCAATGAGGAGTAGAGGTGCCATAGCCACATTGACCAGGGCTTCCTGATTGGCTATTTGTAGGGTCAAATTCCTGAAACTATTATTTTTAAATATTCGTGAGGATTAAAACCAACCGGGCTGTGGTGGGTGTGTGGGCCTGCGGGCCGCTCCAAGCAACAGCCTGGTGGACCAAGTTATCACAAGTCAAGCCTGGCCTCGGGCCGGGCTTGGGCAGTAGAAGAACTCCCAGAACCCCATCAACCAGGTATATGTGGGCCTGCGGGCCGCTCCAAGCAACAGCCTGGTGGACCAAACTCTCACAAGTCAAGCCTGGCCTCGGGCCGGGCTTGGGCAGTAGAAGAACTCCCAGAACCCCATCAACCAGGTATATGTGGGCCTGCGGGCCGCTCCAAGCAACAGCCTGGTGGACCAAACTCTCACAAGTCAAGCCTGGCCTCGGGCCGGGCTTGGGGGAGTAGAAGAACTCCCAGAACCCCATCAACCAGGTATATGTGGGCCTGCGGGCCGCTCCAAGCAACAGTCTGGTGGACCAAACTCTCACAACTCGAGCCTGGCCTCGGGCCGGGCTTGGGGGAGTAGAAGAACTCCCAGAACCCCATCAACCGGTATATGTGGGCCTGCGGGCCGCTCCAAGCAACAGTCTGGTGGACCAAACTCTCACAACTCGAGCCTGGCCTCGGGCCGGGCTTGGGGAGTAGAAGAACTCCCAGAACCCCATCAACCAGGTATATGTGGGCCTGCGGGCCGCTCCAAGCAACAGCCTGGTGGACCAAGTTTTCACAACTCGAGCCTGGCCTCGGGCCGGGCTTGGGGGAGTAGAAGAACTCCCAGAACCCTCCCCAGGTAAGGTCCAGGTACTAAAACTCGAGGTTGGCTTGAGTTGTGATTGGGCCTTTTTAAGTTAGAAGTGATCCAGATCAATATCCTCCAAATTGTTCAATAATTTAAACGTTTCGAGGAGATGAGCCTTGTCATGTCTGGTTTGTAGGTCCTGAGGACCTCGACCGGTCCTGGTTAGAGAGTCGACCTAATTCATGGGATACATTTTCACACAATACATGCTAATACATACGTGTTCATGCTTGTATACTGTATATCCTCCTCCCCCCCCCAACCCCCTTTCCCATCCCTCCAATCCCCCTTCCCTTCCCCCCTACCCACCTTCCCCCCCCTCCCCTCCCCCGGTGGCCTGCCCTCTGGGGCAGTGTGAGGGAGGAGGCTGAGGGGTGCATCGTGTCTGCCCCGGGGCGGCCAGGCATCGATCCCCGGCCCGGTGGGCTCCGGGGGCTACCGGTGTGCACAATAATGAGCACGCTGCCCCCCCGAGGCTCTAGCTCCCCCGCCCCACCTCTTCCCCCCAACTCACAACACAACACACACACACACACACAGTATTCTCACCCCCTTCTGCCAGGCACATCTCCTAATCCTGACACCTGTGTTCTCTCTCTCTGTCTGTCTCTCTCTCTCTCTCTCTCTCTCTCTCTCTCTCTCTCTCTCTCTCTCTCTCTCTCTCTCTCTCTCTCTCTCTCTCTCTCTCTCTCTCTCTCTCTCTCTCTCCCTCCCCCCCCCGCAGTTACTCGCCTGGTAATATCTCAATCAAGGAATAACAACGATTAAGTCAATTAAGCTACGGACGTTGAAACTTGATATTCGCTGTTATTGAATCTGTTGGCGTTTTCTCTGTTGATGAATCTGTTGATGAATCTGTTGATGATCTCTCTGTTGATGAATCTGTTGATGATCTCTCTGTTGATGATCTCTCTGTTGATTATCTCTCTGTTGATGAATCTGTTGATGATCTCTCTGTTGATGATCTCTCTGTTGATGAATCTGTTGATGATCCCTCTGTTGATGAATCTGTTGATGATCTCTCTGTTGATGATCTCTCTGTTGATGAATCTGTTGATGATCCCTCTGTTGATGAATCTGTTGATGATCTCTCTGTTGATGAATCTGTTGATGATCCCTCTGTTGATGAATCTGTTGATGATCTCTCTGTTGATGAATCTGTTGATGATCCCTCTGTTGATGATCTCTCTGTTGATGAATCTGTTGATGATCTCTCTGTTGATGAATCTGTTGATGATCTCTCTGTTGATGAATCTGTTGGCGTTTTCTCTGTTGATGAATCTGTTGATGAATCTGTTGATGATCTCTCTGTTGATGAATCTGTTGATGATCTCTCTGTTGATGAATCTGTTGATGATCTCTCTGTTGATGAATCTGTTGATGATCTCTCTGTTGATGAAGCTGTTGACGTTCTCTCTGTTGATAACAGAGTTATTATGTTCCGTTCGGTGTGATCTTGGAGTTGACCAATCAGCGGCCGGAGGGTCATTAAGATCACTATAATAACTGCCTGAGCTACCAAACTGTTTGTTCACTGTTCAACGGATTGTCCTGTTGGTGTGTGTTGAACAACTGAACAACCTGTTCAGTAGGTAATGACTGTGAGCCTAAATATATATATATATATATGGCCGAATTATGACTTCACCCTCATATCAGGAGAGGCGGTTGGGTCCCAGGAGCTAGAGACTGGAGCTGACAGGCTTGTATAGGCGGCGTGGGGTCACTACACAGTAGTCCAGGTGTTTATACGAGCCAATTTACCTGGAGTGATCGTTTACACTCCGGTACCACACCTGGGCTCTGACTCGGTACTGAGGGGCTCGTGCTCCATGTAACCCCTTCGAGGTCAACCTCAGGGAGGTCAAAAACCCCTTCCCTCCCTTCCCTCTCCTACCTCACAGATGACTACTAAGGTAAAACTCTCGATACTTTTTATGCCCTTAATAATACACCTGGAGAAAAATGTTGTATACCAGCAAGTGTTTGTCCTGGCCCCAGGGAGCAGGGGGGGGGAGCGCCTTTGTAATGCTTGTAAACAAAGTTGACCTTTGTAGCAACATGGACACTTTTACACCCAGTCTGGGGCTCCTCACCCGTGGGGTACATGTTTGTGTGTCGTGGGCCAGAGTGTACCTCACATACCACCGCTAATGACGTATACCTAAGGTAGGATATACTTTTCCCCAACACCGTCTTGGGTGCTAAGTCGTGGAGAGGAGTGTGAGGCTGATCCTGTGACGGAGCGTCTTAAGTGAAACTGCAGGCGATGAGGCACAATAACGTGCTTGAAGTGTGTTGACCAGGGGCCAGATTCACGAAGCAGTTACGCAAGCACTTACGAGCCTGTACATCTTTTCTCAATCTTTGGCGGCTTTGTTTACAATTATTAAACAGTTAATGAGCTGGGAAGCACCAGGAGGCTGTTTATAACAATAACAACAGTTGATTGGCAAGTTTTCATGCTTGTAAACTGTTTAATAAATGTAACCAAAGCCGTCAAAGATTGAGGAAAGATGTACACGTTCGTAAGTACTTGCGTAACTGCTTCGTGAATCTGGCTTCAGACCACACACTAGAAGATGAAGGGACGACGATGTTTCGGTCCGTCCTGGACCATTCTCAAGTCATAATGGACTTAAGAATGGTCCAGGACGGACCGAAACGTCGTCGTCGTCCCTTCACCTTCTAGTGTGTGTGGTCTAGTCAACAGTGAGACTGATTTAAAATATCATTATTGACGTGTAACTAACACAGCAAGAACCACGTGTCCGGACGACCACGTGTAGCTTCAGGGGTAGTGTGTGGAGCCCAAGTCAGGGCCGCGCGAGGGACCCCGGACGTGTTGTATACAGACTAGGAACGCGACACAGACCAACACACACCCCGCACCTACACCTGTTTAACCCCTGCCGTAATGCTCTCAAAACCCCCAACCCAACACCAATCAGGAAACGCGGGTTTATCAATCACAAACCTTGAGATTATCTTGAGATGATTTCGGGGCTTTAGTGTCCCCGGGGCCCAGTCCTCGACCATCTTGAGGTTATCTTGAGATGATTTCGGGGCTTTAGTGTCCCCGCGGCCCGGTCCTCGACCATCTTGAGGTTATCTTGAGATGATTTCGGGGCTTTAGTGTCCCCGCGGCCCGGTCCTCGACCATCTTGAGGTTATCTTGAGATGATTTCGGGGCTTTAGTGTCCCCGCGGCCCGGTCCTCGACCATCTTGAGGTTATCTTGAGATGATTTCGGGGCTTTTTAGTGTCCTCGCGGCCCGGTCCTCGACCAGGCCTCCACCCCCAGGAAGCAGCCCGTGACAGCTGACTAACACCCAGGTACCTATTTTACTGCTAGGTAACAGGGGGGGGGGGCATAGAGTGAAAGAAACTCTGCCCATTGTTTCTCGCTGGCGCCTGGGATCGAACCTGGGACCACAGGATCACAAGTGCAGCGTGCTGTCCGCTCGGCCGACCGGCTCCTATATCCTCCTATGCTTAACCTAGTTAAACATGAAACTTAAACCTGAAACTCTACCGTCCAATAGGCACAAAAGATGGGGTTTAACAGGCTGAAACTTAGCAAGTTTACCCATTAAACCGGGCCTCGTCCAGCACGAAACGCGGGTTTATCAGACCTAAACCATCCGTTAAACCCCCCCCCCCCGTGACGCCTCAGTAATTAGCTAGACTATTTCATCAGGGGCAATTAAGTCTCAAATGGTCTTTTAAACTGACCTTATTATACATTAAACTTACCACCAGTTGGTTCATGACGGAGCTCTTGAACCCGGGGAGGAGTACTTGAACCCTTCCTGTCTCATACACGTTGTCAAGGGCCAGCTTCACAACATGGGAGGACCCTCACAACACGGGAGGACCTTCACAACATGGGAGGACCTTCACAACATGGGAGGACCTTCACAACATGGGAGGACCTTCACTACATGGGAGGACCTTCACAACGTGGGAGACCCTTCACAACATGGGGGG